CGTGAATAGTGTTACCTTGTAATTTATCACCACAATATTTACATTGAGCTACGTATTTAATGTTACCGTTATTGTCGACGTCCTCGAATGTGTTGAAGTGCTCCCAAACTGCTGAGGTGCGCTTGCATTTCTTCTTAGAACTTGCAACACTTGCACTAGCACTACCGCTTGCCTCTCCTCCACGGCCACTTGTGCCACCACCATTGCGTCCCCGACCTCTAGTACGTCCACCAGGGGTCAGATTTGCAGTTTGATCAGCATCTCTTTTCATAGTTTGCGATTCCTGCAATTGAAAAATATTAGGAAATTGCCCTTCTTCGATGTTGAATTGGGCATCAATAGGAATATCACCACCACCACCATAACCAGAAGAAGCCATTATGAAAAATAAGAGAGATTAAGAGCGCTTTGAGAGAGCTTAAGAGAGATCGAGATTCGAGAGAGATTTAAGCGAGATTAAGAGAGATTTGAGAGAGATTAAGAGAAATTGAGAGAGAATGAGAGTTTTGGGGTGAGGAAAATGGTTGGGGGGAGGGGGGTATTTATAGGAAAATTTTTGGGTTGAAAAAAAATTTTTCCCCCAAAAATTCGGGTCCAACGGCTACAAATTTTTCGGGCAGTTCGGGCAACGGATAAAAATCCGACCGTTTGGTTCAAAAATTCGGGCAAAAATTCGGGTTCGGGTTCAGGTTCGGGCAAAATACTGTTTTTTTTCAAAATTCATGCATTTTTCGGGCTAACGGTCAAAAAAATCAGGCATTTTTCGGGCACGGGTCGAAATTCAGGCAACGGTCACAAAAAATTTGGGTAATTCAGGCAAAATTCGGGCATTTGCCGGAAAATTCAAAAAAAATCCGGCGAACGGCGGGGGAAGGCTTCTCCACGGCGGCGGGCTGTCGGGGGGCTTACCATTTTCGGGCTACCCGAGCCCGTGCCCGAAGAAAATCATTTTCGGGCGGCAAAACGGGCCTGCCCACCGTGCCTGAAAATTTTCAGGCATCGGGCATGCCCGCCACCCGAAAGTCCAACACTGGTATTTACTAGCAAGATATCCGTGTTTTTACATGAATGTTTGTTTATTTATTTTATGATAAGATTAGATATAATAATATAATAATTAGTTACAAAAAAAGTGATTACATTGTTAAAAAAAAAAGAGTATGAAAATGACATTGAAAAGTTAAAACAAATGATGATAAACGATCAAAATTAAGTTTACACATTGTTGTCATTGTATACATATTTATTTACACACATATATTTTGTTCACTTAAAAATAAATAAATAATAATTAGTAAAAAGGGAATGATTCTAATAGGTTTATCTATTCAATTCGGATGACGGAGGCGGTTAGTCTAATAGGTTTCTCCTTAACAGACGTGGAATTCCAACAGAAAATGCGGACCTGGAGAGGAAGGCAAAAGAATGGGGATATGAGTGGAAAAAGGTCCTACATGCTTGCTAGGTCCGGGTAAAGTTGTGAGTTCGTCATGTTATAAGCTCGCTGGCCAGGTCACAAGTTCACACACCTATGAGCTTGAAGTACTTGCGGGTTAAGTTGTGAGGGTTAATGTATTGAGCTGGAATATTGGATTTCAGCTAGGGGTGGAGAATTACCGATGGGCCCGTTTGGTTCGCTAATTTGAGTTTTTAATTTGAGTTGAGATGTGATGTTGTGTGAGAGTTTTTTACTATAGCAACAAAGTTAGATGTGACTGTTTCTGAGAGCTTTTTACTGTAACAAAACTCGAATTCTAAACTCAAATCAGCGAAATGAACAAGGCCAAATGTCTCGTTGTTTTCCTGAGTTAGAGCTCAAGATGAGCTTCGAGCTTGCCACCTCGCTAACGTGAAAAATTAAGTTAAGGGTCCGTTTAGTTTGCTGATTCGAGTTTTTAATTCAAGTTGAGATGTGATTTTATGTGAGAGCTTTTTACTGTAGCAAAAAGGTTAGATGTGACTGTTTCTGAGAGCTTTTTACTGTAGTAAAAAAGTTAAATGTGACTGTTTCTGAGAGCTTTTTACTGTAGTAAAAAAGTTAAATGTGACTGTTTCTGAGAGCTTTAACTATAGTAAAACTCGAATTGGTAAAATAAACGGGGCCTAAATTTATGGAAAACCTTGTATAACAGGTTTCATGTGCTTATAACGGCACCCAGACTAAGTTATGAGCTCGTCAAGTCCATGAATTGGTCATGTCTACAAGCTGGCATACACCTGAGCTAGAGCTCAATTCAGGTTTCGAGTCTTGAGGTCACTAAGACATCTTTCATTTTACCGATTCGAGTTTTCAGTTTTAGGTTTCTACAGTTAAAAGTTCTCAAAAAATGTCACATTTAATTTTTTCTGTTACAGTTAAAAGCTCTCAGAAAATATTACATCTCAATTCAAATTGAAAACTCGACTCTGCGAAACGAACGAGGTAAAAGCAACATGCTAACTTGGACTTTATGAAAAATCTTGTATAAGTATAACAATTCGAATGTCTTGGAGAGACGGTTGCTAGCTCGCCTGGTGATAAGCTTGTAATCCTGATGGCGAGCTTGTAAAGCTACGAGCTCGAGTGGTTGCAAGCCGTTGTAGAGAACTAACAATCTTTTAGAGAATTGCTCAAGGAGTTTGAAGGTGCTTTAGGACTAACAATATTATTTTGTCATAGGCTATTTAATGAGCATTAATGGCCCGTTTAATTTACTGATTTAAGTTTTTAATTTGAGTTAAGATGTGACTTACTGTTTCTGAAAATTTTTTATTGTATCAAAACTCAAATCGGTGAAATGAATGGAGCCTAAAAGACTTTAATAGAGCTGTGAGCTTTGACATTGTCAATGTGGAATGTTGACTTAACTCAGTGTGAAATATGGTATAACATACAGATAAAAACCTGAACACTAACATGGCTCTTTAATCCTCTGCAGTTGATGGATATATGCGATCAAATGGTGTTTAAAAAAAAAAAAAAAAAAAAAAAAAAAAGGTGGTAGCACAAAGCCCCCAAAAAAAAAAAAAAAACCTCTAAAAAAAGAATCTAGCAAACAAAAAACATATCCGAACATTAAAAACAAAAATGCAGTCTAATCGGAATAAGAATCACTGCTCTTACTAGCAAAAAAAAAAAAAATAATAAGAAAAAAGTATTCAAGAACTAAAACACCGAGGAGAGCGGGGCCATACAGAAGAAAGCGGTTGGCATACACATGTTGATGCCTGCAACAGATGTCAACATGTACACCACATCCAATCCTCCTCCTATGCGAGCAACTCGAACTCATTCTTGAACTCAACATTCAACGATGGCCATATAAATAAAATTTATGGCTATAGAGTATTGATGGTGCATCAAACCTCCAGTAATAAAAACACTCACCTCTTTTATTCTTGCTTGTATCTGCTTTTATTTATTATTCATGTTTGTTGACAATCATAAATCGTAATTTATTTTCCACAATAAAAAATTGGTATTCATCCCTGTAAAATTATTTACCTATCACTTACAAATGGTAGATCCCAACATCAAATAGAGATGCTCCTCCACAATAATATGCATGCCTCTGGTTGGACAAATGCGAAAATCATGACCACAAAAGCACAGTTAATGAGTAACAAATTCACTAAGATTTCACTTAAAAGCGTTTAATTTGCATAACTCGTTTTTTTACCGCGTTTGGATTGTCCAACCAAATTACTATAACCACACACTCGTAGTACACTAGTTCAATGACGGCTTTCACAAACTAGAAAACTGTAAAGAGCACAGGGCAAGCCCCAAATTACCCATTTCAACAACCCAACACTCTTTTCTCTGTCCTTCACGAAACAGCCCAAAATTCGAAACCCAGTAAAAACAAGTTAAACACCCAATGTTTGTTAATTCATAATTGTTATCTTTCCGTAAATTTTCTTGTTCTTTTGGGCGATTTTGGAAATTAAAGTGGAAGGAAGAAAGAAAGAGTTTCTCCCCCTCTCTATCCCAATTTCCCACCAATTTAATGCACTCTCTCTAATTCCAAACCCCAGTATTAAATGCAGCAGCTGGAGTATCCACCCACCTTCCCCTCTCCCAAAAAAAAAAAAAAAAAAAAAAAATCTCTCTCTCTTGTCTCTCTCTCTCTCTCTTCCTTCCGCATTAACAAATGGCTAAACCCCCTCTCCCCCTTTCTCTCTCCTCCCAATGTCCTCCTCCTCCTCCGCTGCCTCTGCCGCAACTCCCTCCTCATCCTCCGGCACCGCAAATTACTTCACTAATCTAGGCCTCGGCTACCCCATCGCCATCGCCCTTGGCTTCCTCGTCCTCCTCTCCATCCTCCTCCTCGCCTCCTACATCTGCTGCCGCGCCTCCCGCGCCTCCTACCACTCGTCCTCTTCCTCGGTTCCCTCCAACCTTAACCCTAACCCCAACCATGACGGCATAATCCTCCCCAGGATAATCTTCGTCGCCGAGGACGAGGACGACGACGCCGATGGCCGGCGCGGCGACCTCGACGACGGCGCCGTCGTCGGGCTCCACCAGAGCGTCATCAATTCCTACCCGAAGTTCCCGTACGAGAGGGACGGGGCGGGGATCAAGGAATCGACATGCTCGATTTGCCTCTGCGAGTACAAGGCTTCGGAGATGTTGAGGATGATGCCGGAGTGCCGACACTGCTTCCACCTCTGCTGCCTCGATGCGTGGCTCAAGCTCAATGGCTCCTGCCCCGTCTGCCGGAACTCGCCGCTGCCGACGCCGTTGTCCACGCCGTTGCAGGAGGTTGTTCCGTTGTCGCAGTTCGCCGCCGATCGGAGGAGGAGCAGGTGACTGTTGTTTTTTTATGGATTTTTTGTTTTGTTTTTTTGCATGGTGGGATTGTTTGGCTTTGGTGGAGAGGTTGGATTGTTAATGTAAATTTTTTTCTTTTTTTAACATTTTAATTATGGGTTGTGAGATTGATGCTGGTGATTTTTGTTTTTTAGTAGTCTTGATACTGGTGATTAGGCTGTGGAACAAGCAACTTTTTTTTTTTTTTTTAGTGTTACATTAATTCATAGGAATTTGTTTTTTTTTTCTTTTTCATTTTAACTATTGCTTAATTATTATTGTTTTGAAATTTCTTTCTTGTACTGGCAATTGCAATATTATTGGCTTTCTGGTTTTCTTTTCTTTTGTTTTCGGTTGATAATCATTATTTTATAAGGACTCTAGCGGTGCTGAATTATTGCCATTTTATATTTCTACTTGAGTTTATAATTCTTCTCCTTGGCTGAATAAGGCTGTTGTGTTGTTTTGTTCACTATAGAAAGTTCATTTTTATATTCTTGTTTCGCACAATTATATTCATTTTCTTTTTGTTCTTTTCTTTTCCACTTTTCTTTTGGGAACTGAAGTGAGTCCAATTGCAGACAATGCTTCTCATGCTTTGGTAATTTTGTACAAGTCCCTGTGGATTCTTTTCTCTCTCTCTCTCTCTTTTTTTTTTTTTTTTTTTCTTTTGGTCCTTGCCATTAATTGAACCACGTTTCTTTTGGTTGGATATTAATATACAGCTCTGATTTGGTGGCTATCTTTAATAGATTCAATTACGTTAATTTATTGATGTTTTGGGGGGAAGGAAAGGAATGATGTACTGGCGTTCTCTGTTTTGATAATTTGGTATCAAACAACTGGACTAGTTATTATTTTCACTGTGGAATTCGCCTACACTTTTACAAGGCAAATATATATGTATTTACCCCAGAAAAAGGAAAAAGTTATTATGTATCATTTTTTTTTTGAAAAAAAAAAAAAACAATAATAACAATGAGATGACTGTTTCTTTGAATAATGGAAATGTGAATATATGGAGAAGTTTTCCTGTGAGGCTGTGATAGTAAACTCTCAGTCAGACGTGAAAATCTTTTGTAAGTTTTGGAAACCAATGTCAATTAATTTGGTAACAATATGAAGCCAAAGTTTCTTGTTAGCCGTTTTGTTTTCATTTCTACAGTTAATTTGCTCGAGGATTAATTAGCGTTTAAATGATCAGTTAGCCTTTGCTATGTAACGTAAAAGAGGTTATCAAACCGTTTATGTATGTATTATTATTTTTTTCAAAAAAGTGATTCATTAATTGAATAAGCGGGTTTACTCTAGTTTATTGGAAGTCAACTAGAGCTTTGCTGTATTGGACAGCAAAACAGCACATGTTCATTTACACACTGTGATTGTTTGTGCTATACTCCTATATATCTACACGACATCATTAGGTCGTGATTAGCAAAAACATTTTTTTTTTTTTTTGGTTGGAATGACGGAACATCTTTTGTTGAAGATATGTAAGAAAGTAGCATATTATGATAAATTGAGAAACCAAACAGGTTAATATGGTGGTAAACATCCTGATATTTCAACCACTTATAAGGTTGTCATTTTCTTTTTTTTTGTCTTATATGTATAAGACAGGCAACTACCCATCACAATATTCTCGAATAATAACATTAATAAATGGTCCATGACAGGACTAATGGTAAATTGTCTCCCACTTCTCTCTGGTAAACAAACATTTAAAAAAAACAGCTAGTTTAATGCAGCATGTGCATGGGATGTGGGACAGAACGCCCTTAACTACTGCAGGCGCTCACCGGTTTTCTTTATAAGTTCGACAAAACTTGTTAAAGCAGGAACCGGATATCAAGGGACTTCGCTTGTCAAGCAAAAAAGTAAAAACAGTATAATATTAACAAATGGCTTAAGAACGTCTCTCAAGAAGCTGTAAACTCAAAACCAGGAGCAATATACTCAAATCTCAATACTTCTCCAATCCCACATTATTTTTTTTAAACTAATTTTTCCTAATCTCCATTTCAACTTTTGTATGTTAATGCTAGTACAAAACTTTTGTTAAACTAAACTCATACCCACAAGTTCGAGCCAAAACAAAGGAGCTGATTTCAGGTAAACTCTATTCATATTTGGTCTTACTAATCACGTATTAGATTTTTAGGAGGAGAGTCTTAGAAGTGAATACCTTTCTGAGAGCTTAGATAGATTTTGTTGTCCTGTACACAAGGGTGGTTAATTATAAACAACTTCCATTATTGGAAATCATTAGATCCCTAGCTTATCAGAACCTGCAAAACAATGAAATTTCCAATTTTATTGTCTCATTAATTAGGAGAAAAAAATGCCAAAACAAAGTGTTGTGGTGAAATTAGGAACATGGAGAGGAATTCAAGGATCCTTATTATTACTGGGTTTTCTTTGTATTTTAATCTTGGTCGCGACTTTCTCTAAATTTTACTCCTTCAGATCACTTCTCATTGTCGATACTTCTTGCAATCGAGAAATTTACACTCATCAGAGCCAAACTAGAACCCCAATTCAAGCGAAAGAAACTCTAGAAATTGTTATTCAGAAAATGCAGAGAGAAATCGAGGAGCTGCAAAGAAATTCGTCTTTGTTAAATTACAATTCTTTCTTAGAAGACATACTAGGAGATATCCAGTCAGTTCGTGAATCTTTTCCAGATATTCAGGAAATTAACGAAACCGATCATTACTTGCAATCCAAGCAACAATCCTACGACAATCCTGAAGACCACTTTCTGATAGAGGAGATCCGAAAGTATGTGAAGATGAAGCCCAACAGACTAGGAAAACAGAATTTCATGGGAGCCAACGGAACTTTCACGAGCATTGGCCACGGTTGCTTCGCCATGAAGAAAGAGCTCGAAGAGTACATGGAATACGACGTCGGAGAGATCTGCAACGACGATTGGAAACTTGCTCAGAAGCTGATGGTTCATGGATGCGATCCTTTACCGAGAAGAAGATGCTTCTCAATAGCCCCAAAGCTATACAGCAGGCCATTTCCCATTAACGAGTCCTTGTGGAAGCTTCCTGATGACAGAAACGTGCGTTGGAGTCACTATCGTTGCAAGAACTTCGCTTGTCTTGCCAACAATTCCACTCGCAAAGGGTTCTTCAAGTGCGCGAATTGCTTCGATCTCGAGCATCATGAATTTCCCAGGTGGATCAGGAGAGAAAATCCCGATCCCAGATCGAATCTGAGCGAGGATTTTCTTGCACGCGAAGTTATCGACTTGAAGCCTGGGGAGATCAGGATTGGCTTGGATTTTAGCATCGGTACCGGGACTTTTGCTGCGAGAATGAGGGAGTTTAATGTGACTATAGTCACAGCGACTATTAACTTTGGTGCTCCTTTTAGTGAGATGATAGCTCTTAGAGGGCTGGTCCCACTTTACTTGACGATAAATCAACGGCTGCCGTTCTTCGACAACACTCTTGATTTGATCCACACCACGAGATTTCTTGATGGATGGATTGATTTTGTGCTTTTGGATTTCATTTTGTATGATTGGGACAGAGTGCTTAGGCCCGGGGGTTTATTGTGGATCGACAGTTTCTTTTGTGATAAGGAGGACTTGAATGACTATTTGGAGTCGTTTAAAATGCTGAGGTACAAGAAGCATAAATGGGTTGTGGTTCCAAAGCTTGATAAAGATGATAGTGAAGTGTTCTTTTCTGCTCTGTTGGAGAAGCCGCCTAGACCATTCCGATAATCGCCCGCAAATTCTCAATATTGTGGATCTCTGCCTTTTATTTGTAAGTAGTAACATCTTACTCATTACCGTAATAGGGATTTTTTTTTTTTTTAAATTTGATAATTTACTGTAACAGGGGATTGACATTTGTAGTTTGCTACCATATAAATGTAATACAATAAGAAGGATTTTTTGGATAGAGGTCCGAAAACTTTTTTTTTTTTGGTTAATGTTATATAAATATGAATAGTGCTTCTCATTATCAGCAGTGGAGGATCTGTCTCTATACGTGTGTGTGTGTGATCATTTCAAAACAGCATACTAAAAAAAATATAGACAACTAGGAAATTATAATTTAAGCTACACATCTTTTAACTCCATGCATTAGATGTATTAGGATGAATGTTTATACTTAATGCTTTGGATATTCTTATTAAGGGGATCGGTTAGATCTTTCATAGAATCTCCTCTTTCTTAGTCTTATAGATAGACTAATTATCTATATTTATTTATTTATTTTAGTATTTTTCTTATTATTTTTCTAAATACTACTCAATATAGTTTAAAATGTATACTCAAATTATGATTATTAAGTCTGACATTTGAAATTTAAATTTTTTATGAAAAAAAAAAATTAATTATTTGAGTTTGAGTATATAAAATTGTTACTTTCTAGTACGAATGTAATTGGGTTCGGAGTGCAGAGGTGAGTTGGTTTTCAAAACCTCTCCTCATCCCCGTTAGTCATACCATTCCCTCCTTACAAATCGCAAGTCGGGATAGGATCAGGAATTCAATGATGAAGTAACAAAGCTTTGTTAACAAAAGTTATGCATCCAACAATGCAGATTATTCTCATACAAAAGAAATTGAACTTTTTCTAACTGTTGAAGGGCATGTGATATCATCCCGTTCCGTCTCCAATTATTACTAATCTCGGTTTTTTTATAGCGCCAAAAAGAAAAAGAGAAGAAAAAACTCAGCCCCTGTTTGGAATCGGTTTTGAAACCGTTTTTCATGAAAATCGAGGCACCGAAAATGGAATTGATTCCCAAACCGCGTTTGGTGCATTAATGGATTTGAAAATGAGATTGGAAATGGTCTTTCAGTTTCTCTTATTTCCATTGCTATTTGAAAACGGTTTTTTTATCGTTTTCCTTTTTCATTTCCGTTTTCATCTCTCTCTCTCGTCTGCCATCACAATCGGCCACCGTCTGTCGACATCTGCCACCAAGCGTCAGCCAACCTACTCCTCGATCCCCGAAATTCCCGTTTTCCTGGTTTTGCCGAGATTCTGGCGTTGTCGAAATTCCCGTCGACGTCCGCCACCAAGCGTTAACTCGAGATTCGGGTGTTGTTGATCTTGGCGATCTTGAGCCTATTCTCGGATTTGTTCTTCGCTAGGAGTCTGATCTCCATGGCCGCTTGCTTCTAGTCCTCAATCGAACAGGACTCGAGGTCGGAGACGAGCTGTCGGACTAGCTCGTGGGAGTTATCCGTTGCGCATGCAATCAATAGTCGCCAACTCTATTTAACTCTTTTATCGCATCACAACGATGCGGGACGCTGCGATAGAGGATATGTAAAAGCTGGGAAAATCGCACCTGGTAGTTCATTTGTCAATTTGGTAGGATTTGGAGTGATACAGTGAAGTGATGAATGAACGAATAAAAGCTAAAAATATGGAGGAGAGAGAGAGAGAGAGAGAGGGTAGTAGAGTGAGAGAGACGCAGAGACATTAACACCTGGACTAAGCTCTTGGGGCCTGGACTTACACGTGCACATAACTGACCACACCAAATCTTAGTCGTGTGAGCACGTGCGAGGGTCTCTTCTCTTTAAGCACGCATGGAAAGTTTGTTGCTCCAAAACGGAGTTTCAGTTTTTTTTTTTCATTTTGAGATTAATCTCAAAATAAAATTACTAAATGTATTTTTAAAAATAATTTTAAAATAAAAATAAAAATAAAAATATTTTTATTTTTATATAAAAAATAAAAATATTTTAAAATGAGTTTCAAACACATTTTTAATTTTTTGGTCGCTACTTATTGAATATGTAGGGTATTCACATGGACCTCCCACAAAAGCCGGGTGTCCCAGAAAAAGCTGGGCCTCCCAACAAATGGAGCTTTTGTGGGAGGCCCTATACGATGAAGATAGCTATGAGCCGTGGGCCTGACGTTTGTTTTAAAAATTAGGTTTGATTTAGAATTATAATTGTTAAATTAAAATTAAAATTTTAAACTTATGAATCAAACCTCATCTTAATTTATATCAGATCAGTGTCTAACAGGCTACAAGACAGATGCAATAAAAAAGTATTGTTTTCATTCATGGTAGTCTTTTCGATGCCGATTGTGACACAAGTGTCCCATCTTTGTCGTTACACATTCCTTTTCCTTGGACCTCATAGATTCTTCTCTACCGGGCCCATCGGCCCCGTCCCATTCCACGATCCTAAAGCGACTCTCACTTGTCTTCCACTAGGATTCCATATGCGCATCAGTAGAAGATAGAAAGCAAGGGTCTGAAAAATGCAAAGAAAAAGTGAGCGAGAAAAGAGATCTAATCCTTCCTCTTTTTATTTATTTATTATTTATTGTTGGCTTTTATTGCACATTGGTAATAGTAACTTAATGGAGTACCACTCCTTCCGGGGTATCATAAGATATTATGATGGTTACTTAGGACAAATAATTCTTTTAACTTTAAACATATTGACATTTTAGTCCCTCAAATTTTAATTTTAACTTATTAGTCTCATAATTTTTATTTTTTGACAATTTTAGTTTCTAATATTAAAATTGACTAGTGATTTCAGAAATTTAATAATAATAATCACGTGTCCATCACCTAAGAATAAGCATGCTATAACATTTTCTATTGTTTATTGTTAACACATATTGAAAACTATAACATTTTGCACGCATTGTAACTATTTATGTGAGATTTTCAGTTATTATACTATAAAAATGTGATTGTTTTTGTTAAATTTCAAAAATCGTTCATTAGTTTTAGTGTTATGGACCAAAATTGTTAAAAATTAAAAATTAAAAGACTAATATATCAAAATTAAAAGTTCATAAACCAAAATGTCACTATACTCAAAGTTGAGAAATTGTTTGTACCAATTACTCTATTATGATCTTTTGAAACAACAGGCTACTCATGACCATGAAAAACAATTTAATAAATAAAGCTTACTGGTCATCAAAAGAAATAAATACAATGGCATTTTTCCAGTAAGACTTCTTATTTTCTTCATTTGAACATTGTTTCTACACTATATATTATAAGTGAGAGTGCCCTTTTGATACTATTCAAAAACTTAATTCAAGTATTTTGTCTTTTAGTGCTTTGTGACTTTTTTTTTCTTTTAATTTTTTAACCTTTTTCTTAAAATATTGTAGGAGAGTATCATGTATGTGGTGGGTTAGTTTCTTTTCCCCTTTAAATCTTCTCAAAGACGATCAAGTATTTGTAAACTGTTTTTATTTTTTTAAAATTTATATTTTATATTTTAAATGTGCTTCATTAAAGTATACATTCGTCTTTCAATTAATTTGTTCCTATAAAATTTTTTTTTGCCTTGAATATAATCTTATAATATATTATTTATCAAATCTGATATTTCAAAATATAGATTTATGATGACGCTACGTAAATAATTTTATAATTTTTTGAATTCTTTTTCCTCAAATGTAATCCTTCTTAAATCCATTTTCTTATCATTTCATCTATTATTTTCACTTTTAACTTTTTTTATCCCAAAATCTTATATTTATATTCTTTTACAATTCTCTACGATATTATTTTTTTCCAGTAATGCTTTCAAGAATATCGTTTTATGAGAACTCTTAATTTAAAGTACAAATTTAAAACATCTTTGTGATATTAATTTAATGAGAAAATAGTTTACAAAAACATTTTATATTCTTAGACTTTTATATTCTTATTAATTTTGTTACATATTTTACTGAAATTTTTGGCGAATTATTAAACTAAACAAAATAAAGTTGAACCCATCAAAAATTAAACATCTATGCATGTAATAAGAAAAGGAAAAAAAGAACCACTTGAGAAGTATGTAGTTTCAACTAAATCATACATATATAGAAAGCGCAATTGCATATACTGTTTTCGACAAAAATGGTGTCGTTTTGATCGAAAATCCTCCTTTTGATTTATTTTTTCTTTCGCTTATTACCTTAAAATTTATTTATTTATTCATTTTAATCCATTTTTTACTATTTTATATTTTTGGCTTGAAACTTTATTTTCTTCCTGTTTAGTGTGTTTTGCCCTAAAATGTATTTCTTTTTTTCATATTGGTCATTTTTTTACCCCTTTTATTTTTTCCTTGAAATTTTACTTTTTTTGCCTTGGTTTGTTTTACCTAATATTTATTTATTTCTTCATTTTAGCCTTTTTTTTACACTTTCCTTTAATTTTCGTCTTGATACTTTATTTTTTTTCCGTTTTGATTCCTTTTACCATAAAACACCATAAAACTTATTTATGTCTTTATTTTGGTCATTTTTTACCCCTCTTTTTATTTTTCCTTGAAACTTTACTTGTTTTTCGTCTTGATTCCTTTTGCCTAAAACTTATTTATTTCTTTATTTTGATCCTTTTTTTTCCTTTTCTTTAATTTTTTTCTTGAAATTTTATTTCTTTTGTTTTTGTTCTCTTTACCCTAAAACTTATTTATTTTTTCATTTTGTTCATTTGACCTTTTTTTAATTTCTTCCCTTTTTGTCCCTTTTGCCCTCAAATTTATTTATTCCTTCATTTTGATATTTTTTACCTCTTTTTTTTTTTAATTTTTGGCCTAAGAGTTTTATTTTATTTTTGTTTTTGGTCACTTTTAGCCTAAACCTTATTTATTTCTTCGTTTTAGTCCTTTTTGAGCTCCTTTTTTTTTTTTTTTTGCTTCTTGTCCTACAACGTTATCTTTTTCATTGTTCCCCTTTTTGAGATTTTGTATTCGAATTTTATATGTTTCTAATAATAACA